TTTCCCTCTGATTTCATATTATGTTATTTTTGTCATCCAATAAAATCAAATCAAAATCCGTGTAGGATTTTGCCTTAAAGGTAAAATCTCGATTAAAGACACTGTATGCTAACCATACTGTGATGTTTAGATAGATAAATATGTTTAATACGTATAAATCGCATGATAAATGAATAAAAAGATAGAAAAACATCTATTCCGAATGTATATTTTTCTTTTTGTCAAGATTTCTTTTTGTTTACGCTTAAAGCGAGGATGGCTTGCTTACACAGCTGTTATTGTTTATCTCATGCTGAGTGATTTCGTTTTTTTTATCGATTATGTGTATATATATGTATCTTTTTAAAAGAAACCATTTCGTTATATTAAAGTATTTTAAACATATACTGACACTGTTCTATCCTATGTTTATAGTGTTTACTAGATGAGAATGGGAAGTGTTCATTTCTAACTAGGACGGAGATAACTAAGATTTACATCGACAATGGATAAATTTAAAATACTTCCACACAGATTAATCAAGTGCCGTGATGATGTAGAGGTGGAACACTCTCTAGCCCCATATGCAGTCCGAAGTTCGATCCCCGAACGACATACTCATAAGCCTTGCTTAGCCAGTAGTAAGCCCGGTAAGGGAGGAAGGCTAAGTATGAAGCTAGTAACCCCTCCCATTAAAATTAAAACCCCTGCTACTGAAGCACAAAGAAATAAAAATATCAAGCGATTAATGACTGATGAGAGCCAGTCATGGACAACAATTTCCATAAGAGATGTTTTTAACACGATTACAGATAACCATGCACTCTTATGGTGTTTCCGAGAACGAAATTTCCATCAGCTTCAGAAGATTTTCACAAAATCTATCATCTCGAAGATTTCTTATGATAATGAAGCTTTCTCGGTATACTACCTTTCTCAGTAGGACCTGTAGTCTTAATATTATTTCTATTCACCAACAAAGCAGGCTAAAATAAAAAATTTCAGGTATTGGCATTCAAGGATATAATAATGTGGATTTAGATCAAGATCTGACGTCATTTTAGGAGCTATTAAAATCAGAGAGCACTGAGACCTGCTATTTTGTTCAAGCTTGGGACGGAATCCAATGGCCCAATGACTAAATGGTCAATGGGCTTGCGTCATAACTTAAAGGTACTGAATTTGACACCCAATCGGGGGTGATGGTTCCACATTTCTGTTAAACCCTAAGCTGAGACGAAACAACTGTTCGGTTTGTTGTTTTACTGTTATCAGTCCATGATGTACATTAGAACTGTTTTGAATTCCTCGAAGGCTGATACTGAGTATAGCTTAGAGAAACACGGAGTTTCAACTACCCATGAAACGGAGATTCACACAAGTATGAACACAGAATTACTTGACATTATGTTGACTTTGGAATTAATCCAGTTTTATCAGTAAAAATTAAAATAATCTTCTCGACAAAACTGATCAGTTTGTGTCTTGTTTAGAAAACAAGTCAACTTAAACATACGAACACAAATTACTCTTTTAAATCAATTTTTTTAAATAATAGAAAAGATTTGTAGCTAAGGTAAATGATTTGCTATTAGTAGTGTTCTCTGAGCTGGTTGATTTAGTTGTGGGCTTTCGTCGTCCTTCTGGACATCTTCGGCGCATAAAGTGAAATGATTTAAATTTCTTCATGAGTGATATAACTGAGTGTCCTGGTAACCATCTTTACATATGTATTGTTCATTTTCTATTGACTTGGATTTTCAACTTTCTCGTCACATGATTCACTTTATATTAGTTGGTATATTTGGTCTATATTAACGTGTTTTTTAATTGCATACTCGTCTGAGTACCAGGTTTCTATGAATACCCTGGCACTTTTGGTGTTTCCTCTGTCTGAGATTTCGACATTATCCCAATCAAACTTGTGTCCATACATGTCTTAATGCATTGATATGAAAGAATATATATCGCGTCTTTTCACAGCTGATTTGTGTTCCTCGATTCTGGTTCGAAGGGGACGCCCACATACACGGATGTAATGTCTGTTACAGTTCACGCAATTTGTTTTGTAAATGGTATTGATTTTGTCTCCTTTTTCTGTCGGATTTTTCAGTCTGCACAATATTGAATTAAGTGATTTGACTGGCTAGTGTGCTATGTCTGTTTCAAACGGTTTCAGTACTCTATCTGTTATTTCAGAGATATTTTCTATGTGTTCTTGTGTTCTTTGATGATGGTTCCATGTTGGTGTTGTGATTCAATTTGAAACACTTTTTGGTAAAATTGTGCAGAAATCTATTCTTTTTGAAGACAATTAATGGGTATTTTTCTCCCATTCTTTTCAACGCTGGAGTGCTACAGTGTGTGTTTGAATTCATTCAGAACAATAACTGCACACAGTTTTTTTGTGAGTTATTCGATTATCGCTAGTATAGTTGAGTATTTGATCTGTGTGCGTTGATTTTCTATGCACCTGTGTTTCTCGATTTCCCGTGTTGATTCGCCTGATTAAGACATCTAAAAATGGGATTTTGTTATCTAATTCTTCTTCTCTTTTGAATTTGATGTCTTCAAATATGTTTTTCATTAATTTATGAGTAAATTCTAAATCATTTCTTTTAATTAATACAAATGTATCCTCGGCGGAATGTACTCAGACTTTTGGTGTGATTATAGGTAGAGCTAATAGTTTTAATCTTTGCTTGACGGCCTCAGCTATTAGTCCTGATATTGGCGATCCCATTGGTGTTCCTTTTATTTTTTCATATATTGAATTGGAAGTATGTTGTAAGACACAATTCTATGAGTTCTCTCCAAGTTGAACATTGAGTTCTTATGTTTTCATCACTATACAGTAATTGTTGCATAGTTTCTGTTGCTAGTTTTGAACTAATTTAAGTATATAATGCTGTAACATCAAAGGACATCATGATCATTTCATTGTCATCCACTCAAATGTTTTTGATTTTCTCTAAAAATTTGACTGACGGATGGATAGAATGGTCACATGATTCTCTCACGTAATTTTTTTTAATGTTTAATTTAGTTTGGGCAGATGGTTGTAATTTGTGAGTGTTTCACGTTTATTTATTTTTAGTTAAAAATAAATTTACTACTGAAATATTTGAGGTTAATAAGGACTGAAGTCATCTAATCTCACAGTTCATATTATGAAAATGTTATGTATTCGTCGCTAAGTTATTGTTATTGACTGGTCGAGAAACTAATAGTCCTGACGCAAGACGGCGGAAATCAGAAGACCACTAGGTTTGCGATGATACTTCTATTTTTCCAAACACAAGGAGAATGCAAAAGTGGTATCACACCAAAGAAAGTAAGTGTGTCACACAAATTGTGAGAACGAAATATATATATGAATGTTCAGACAAGGGTGTGGACAATTATTAGACAGTCTTAACATGAATGGCTAATTATAATGAAGTATCGATCCATATATACATAGCGGACTATAGCAGACATGTCAACAACCACCATATATGGATATATGTCACCAAGCAACGGACTGTCAACAAACACTCATATTATATATAATATAAGGGGAATATACATTGTTAAAGGAGACAAGTTCATACAAGTGAAATGGTCACAGACTAAGCGAGCAAACAGAAAGAGAGACCAACATACACACACATAAATATATACATGTGGGTACATATCAGAAAATTACGTAAAAAGATTGCTAATTTACTTGACCTCTTCGTAAGTTAGTGTTATTATGCAAGTAAGTATTAACACTTGACGAATACAATCCAATCAGTTCTCTTCATTTTTGATGTTTATATACTGCCTCATCACCATCTTCAACACCTAAGCAGTATAATCATACTAGATGGTCTTAATCTTTAACTTTTCTCTTGGTTTCCTTGAAATTTTTCTCTCGAAAAATACTAAAGGAGAGAATTTGGGTGTCCATTTACGTTAAAAAACAGTTCTTGAAATCTCTGGAATAGCTAAACTGTCCGGCTTTTTCCTACAATATATCCGAAGGAACAGAAATACTGCAAAAATTGTAGTATACACATGTAAATAAGTTGTTCTAGAAAAGAAGGAGCGTTTATTTGTCTGACAGACCTTAGTTCATTATGAAATCTAGATGATGTAAAGGTTAAATAAACTTTATTTGTATCTCCACAAAAATCTTTAATACACCCATTTGTTTAACTCGAACCAGCAAACAAACGGCGCGAAAATTCAACTGAAGCATAATTTGAAACTTCTTGAATAAATGTCTGTTTGAGTGTAAAAGCAGTAATGTAGAAGAAGTATTCAAGCACATCAAAACCAACTATAAATAGCTTTTTTCAACAGAATCTTAAAAAAAAGCAGATAATGCTTGAAAGAAAATTATTCGCAAATTCCTTTGAAAGGTATTTGTTTAAAATAAGAAAAGAAATACAATAATTGTATTGTAAATATTCCCTTCAAATATGTTCCCTAATAAATTTTCAAATTAAATTAATTATTTTGAAATGAAGGCAGCCAATACAATAATGGTGACGAACAAGAATTATCAAATTTAAGTGAACACTGATTGACAAATATTTAAGAAGCTGTTTCATTGCTCTATTCATTTGCAAGATCAATTCATTGTCTGGTAGATTACTCTTAGTGTGCAGAAAATTAAACTTAACTGAAACCTACTAAGAATGAGGGCTAGTTAGTTTCTTTATAATATTTAGGTGTTAAATATTGCTAAATCATGAATTAGAGGCAGTTCTAAATAAAAAAAATAGTATTTTCATACATATGTGTAAAACTTGAACACTGTGGTAGTATGTAATTCCATATTCGACATATCACACAGTGAAACAGTATTATTTACTGGATGAAAAAGTTACGAACACAATTTACTGTTCATATCATCAATTATAATCACACAACTTTGAAACTATCGTTTTGTAGTTTGCTTTATTCTTTCTATTTGTCTCAGGGGTAATAGAACTTTCCAGATATCTGGGACAGGTAGTGAATCATTCCTGTTACACGTATTCCCTCTCAGCTGATTCGATGAATAAAGCTTCCGTTATCTCAATCTCTCCCTCCATCCTGTGACATTAGATTTCAAAACTGTCATCTTATCCCATCCTATTGTATGGTTGTGTATAATAGCGTGTGGTGAGTGGTATAGCTGAACTATTCTCCAGATCCTCACTATCTTATTCGGGTCAACTAATTTAGGTTTTTCTAGGTTAATGTGTTTGGCTAGTCCGACTGCACCCGTTTTACTACTTTGACCTATGTATTTAACCTGACAGTCATTCCAGCATGGTATTAGGTAAGTCTAATTGTTTTGTTCAATTGGCTTTACATGATCCTTTAACTGATAAAGCTTGTTTCAGAAGAAACCTACAGTGGACCTTATAAGCCGAATGAAGCCATTTTTAGGTGAGTTTGAATGGTTTAATTTAATGCTGAAAACTAATAACCCCAGTAGGATGTATGGCGTTGGCAAAGTTCAAAAGTCGGGATACCCTATTAGGCCTAAAAATGATTTCAGAAATTCGCCTATTTATGAACTGTCTAAATATTTAGATATGGTGTTAAATCCGCTTAGAAGCCATTCATTGTCTGGACAAACAAATTTTGGTGAACTAAAACATAGATTAGATAATTTAAGATTAGATAGTGAGGAAAAGATGGATACTTTTGACTTGTCAGTTTATGTACCTATATATCAATAAATAAGCCAATGGAGGCAGTCAGAAACGAACTCATTTCTGACCAAGAACTTGAACTTAGAACAAATGTGCCACCACATGGTATGATGCTCGGAGTGCAGCTTTAACTGACTTCCACAGTATTTAAATTCCAAGAGGAAATATACACACAAACTGCGAGAGTTACCATGAAGTCACCACTATCATTGATTGTGGCAGATATACTCATGGGTAGGTGGGAGAATTTGGCGATTGAAACGCCCTGCCCAACTCCAAAAATATGGTGGAGGTATGTAGATGACAAATTCACCGTACTTATAGCACAGGAAAAACATATTTTCGGACAAATCAACTCAAAGGTAGAGGCAATACAATTCACTTATGAATTTGGAAGTCAGAAAGTGAGGCTTCCAATGTCAGATTGTAAAGTAAAGAGAACATAAGATGGTAGGTTAAACACCAGTGTTCGCAGGAAACCCACACATTCAAACCGATGTTTGGATTTGCGATCATCCCATCCTATGTCAGTAAACAAAGAACTGGTGAAATGTTTAAATGGCAGAGCAAAAAACTAAGTAGTACCAAAGAAAATATAAGACAGGAAGTGAGACATATAAGAGAAGCTTTGAAACTTAATAATTACCCTGATAAAATAGTCAGAAAGTATGTAGGCGAATGTAAAAATAAAATTAACAATGATAGTAATTATAGTAATAGTAATAATATTAATAATGACGACATACATGTCGAACATGGAAATTCTTTTACCCCTGAGACAAATAGAAAGAATAAAGCAAACTACAAAACGATAGTTTCGAAGTTGTGTGATTATAATTGATGATATGAACAATAAATTGTGTTTGAAACCTCGTCATCCAGTAAATAATACTGTTTTACTGTGTGATTTGTCTAATAAACAAATTAACATGAAACATTTTTTTCAATGAATCGCCTTCAGTTTCTTACAAGTATAAAATGAAATATTTATTATTTCAAAAGCAGCCAGTTTTGCAACAGATACATGTTTACGCATAGCAATAGATTAGTTATAAGGCGACAAAGTTAATAAGTCCGGATTGAATCCAATCACGAGAAATGATGAAAGATGGGACGGTGATGGTCATTTGCCATATTTTGAAGTTATTGTTTCCCACCATTTGCCTGCCGCTGTTGCAATACGTTGGGCCGAACCAGAACTTTGTATTCAAAAAGAACATGTCCAGATGTTGTTCTCATCACCGTCAAACTTCGCCAAAGCTCTTCCTCCCTTCGGCATAGTCGTTCCCTCTTATTTTTTATTCCTCACTTTTAGTTTTTTGCCAATTTTTCGCTCCATGCTAACAGTTTTAGTCATTATGCTTCACAATTTATACCCTTCATTTTAGCATTCTTTAAATACTCTCGAATTTTTCATTCATACTATTCTCATTTATAATTGGTGCTATTATTTCTTTCCTCAGTACATAACATTTCATTTCACATATTACTTCTTATATGATCGACTATTCAACGTAGTCGGTGGCATAGCGGTAAGGATGCTCGCCGATCATGCACATGGTCCGGAGTTTGATCCTCTGCCGACACACACCTGATATCAATGGTCGGCCTGCAAAATTTAGGCTACCGATATCACATGCTGAAAATTTCATACCTGTACCAAAAACACGATGTGGAATCAATCTGTAGTCAAAAAATAAAACGTTTCCTTTTCAAATGTTCTAGTCAGTTAACAAACACGCTTTACAGCCTTAAACTGATACTTCAGTTTTCCTTCTTGACATTCTATGAATCTATTAGGACTTGTCAGCATCATTTTTTTACATATCACAATATTTTGTAATTGCATTCGGTTAGGCACATTTTTCACAGAAATATTATCCGCATAACTGGCTACCTCGCCTCGCTTACTACCCAATCCTTAGCCCAGAAAAAGAAGGACGTTTTGGCATAGGGCTAGAGACACTCCCCAGCGGAAAATCTGAAGGATGTGAAGGATACTTATTGTAAAGAATATTTTTCGTTCAGACTGGCTTTTGAAATCTTTAGAGAACGAGTCTTTCTCTAAATATCATCTCTTTGAGCGGTTTACTCTGTCAGAAAACAATGATTAATATATATGTATTCCAAAATCGATGGTAATCTTCGTTAAAAGCTTTGTTTTACACACATACATAAGGATCTTCGGTTGATAATAATAGCGTATACACTGATTATTCTCCTTCTCCAGAAAAACGGGTGCTACATTCATTAACTCTTTGAAATCTATCACCTTTCAGTTAAAATTAGTCTGTTGAAAAATATAAATCTAAAATTTTTTATAAAAAAACTATCCAATCACGTTTATGTGTATTTTTATAAAAATAAATCTTCGAGCATTTTTGCCTGCTGATTACTCTAGACAGCAAACTTACACTTTGGGAAAATTGACAGTCCCAATTTTAATAAATTTGCATATATATATATATATATATATATATATATATATACCAACAATAAAAAAAATTGAAACTGAAGACTACAGATTTAAAAAGGAGACAAATGAACAGCAGACATCTCGACATATGCATACAGTTTCACTTTTATTACATACTGTTCCCTATTCATCCTTCCAATTGGCTAAAAAGTAATTAATATTATCAAGACAACTGGGGATTGGGGATGGATTTTATCTGCTTTTCATGTATTAGTCTAGTTTAGATATTTAGTATTTGTCTTCTAGATTAGGCGTCTGTAGTATAGTCTGTAGTGTTATATGAATACCTGAGAAATATTCACAAACGATACTTGATGGCTGTGATAACAGAAAGCTACTCCGAATGTACTTTAATTAAGAGTTTATACATTTATTTCCATTAATGAATTTGAACAAAGCAAGAACTACAGTTTTAGCACAATAAAGTGGTACCATCAGTGTTTATTTCGTTGCCTTCTCGTCAGCTCAGCTGCTTACAGGCCAAAGACATTATTAAATATATCTACAACAACAATTTTAACATACTTGCACAGAGTTCATTTTAAATAAAAATCAATCGATCAATATACGCATACACTAAAAATATATACATATATAAATATGCAATATTAAACACTATTCCGAACAATAATAATCATACACAATGGAAACTTTTCAGCATTTCGCATTTGGAAGAAAGAGAGGTGAAATTATCCAGTTATCAGGGCAAAGAAAGACTGATAATCGCTTCTTTCTGGACGCATAAATCAGGTTTCAGGCGCTTGATGGAAATGGCTTCAGCAAACTTAGGGAGAATTGAGCACTTTTGCCTATTGATAATTTTGAACGACTTTTCGACGTCCACCTCATGATCCGTGTCGAGGAGATGCCTGGCGATGGCAATGTTTAAAGCATTTGTTCCCTTTAGACGTAAGCTTTTTGGTACATGTTCAGAAAATGGTAGATATGCCCTTCTTTCTGTCCTTCCAATGTAACTGCTCCCGCAGATACATGTAAATTTGTATATACAGTTGGAGTTAACATGATAAGGATATCTATCGAATTTAGACTGCACCAAAGAGCAAGTTGTTCGATAGACGGGAACGAGCTTAGCTGCAGGATACGCTATGGCTAGTGATGTACTCAGCCTTCTGTTGATCATCGCTGCAGTGTTTTCACCTTTATAATCAAGCTGGACGTAGACTGGCTTTCTCCCGCTGTGATTTGTTTTACATTTGTGACTTCAGATCTTCCATACTTGTTGATGAACCTTTGAGGATACCCAGTTCTCTTCGATATATTTTCAAGGAACTCAAACTCCTCCTCTAGTTTCTCTATAGAACATATTCTCTCCGCTCTGTAGTACAAAGTTTTGACTAGACCATGTTTAAAGCTATGTGTGTAACAACAGAAGACAATGGCTGGCAACAAATCGTTTTATTACGAAAATCAACACGTATTTATATAAATTTCACATCCATTATTGTAGCCTAGTCAAGTAGACAGATGCAGTCTTCTGATTGGTTGTTTTCGAGTTCCTCGGAAAGTGGAGCCATTTATCTGCGAATCATATTTGCCCACGTTCAAGTTCACTGTGATTGGCTGTTGAAACAGCCTTGTTCATATTTTCTCACGGCCCATATTAGTGACCTAGACATTGACGTAGATTAATGTCAACCAATTGGCTAGCAGGCTGCTCTCACCACATGTGGACAAGCTATGAGTTTATACACTGTCATTAGCTTCAGCAGCGTATATGCATTTCTTTCTATCCTCTACATTCTTCATTAGCTTGCAACATGCTTACCCATACCCTTTTACTTCTTCTTCATGTGGTCTCCTCCGTGTCACCTTCAAACCCGCACTCAACTTTTGGTTTCCCATTCGGTTTCCCCTCGAAGGTCTGGTGCATCGTCTCACTCAGTGTTCTCCTCAGTGTGTATCCGACTGATCTCCGTTTTCTCCTGCATATTTATTAGATGATAGATTTTTGAATGGTTCGTTGCCAAGGTTCTTTAGGGCTTATCCTTTCCGGCCTGCCATCTAATCTTCTGTATGTAGAGAAAGCAGGTGTTGCTAAGGATCTGCCATAACAAGCTGAAAATGCTTTTCAAAGTGTAAGCGCCAAGTTACTGAAGAATAAAAGGGAAGATCCTTATTCCGACTGCAGCAGAATGGTAACTAGCAGTGGAATCCAGGATGCACATTCCGTCCTGTTTGGGACTGGTCATCTGGATGTACCTGCATTAAATTCTAATTACATGCCCAAACATCGT